CACCCACACGCACACCCACACCCACACCCACACCCACACCCACACCCACACCCACACCCACCCTTATGGGTCACCCGATATAATGTCATCGTCGATGATCTCATAGACTCTCTTAAAATTTATTATTTTCTAGATATCAAGTTTGTCATTGTCCCAATCCCGCTTTTATTGGGGTATCAATCAATATTAAGGCGGTCAATGCATCCATACGCAATTCAATAACTTCTTCTTTGCTTTTGTTACTACAAGATGTATCGATAATTGAATGTTCAGGAAAAGTATTAATATGAACTAAGTGAGCTGTTCAGCGGCTATCGGTAAAGGTTCGTTCACTTTCTGTCTTAACCGTGGGCACAGTTCTACCTGCATCCAACTCAATAATTAATAATTTTGACTTTGCTATGGCAAAATCTGTTTGAAATTGCTCGTAGAGAGCAAATTTTTCGTTGTATCGATTTTCACAAAATTCCAAGTCGTCAAACATGACGACATTCGGTCTTGCTAGTTCACCACAATCAGAATATAAAGCTAAAGGATCTGTAACGCAACTCGTTTCATTATCTAAAGTAAGCTTCAGTGTATCGTTTGTAGCCCATACACGCTTACAGCAATCATTGGGATGTGGGTCTGGGTGGGTGTAGGTGTCATCCTCAGTATAGATAACCACACCCACACCCCACTCCTGCCAAAAGTTTTCAGAAATAATCAAGATTTAGACTAGATAAACACGCTGGAATTCGGTCACTTACGAGGCAACCTTTTCAGGTGGCTCCCGCTAATTTCAATGAAATTTCGTCCAAAGATACTACATAGTGCCCTAGTAAAAACTCTAAAATGGTTTGATTGCGAATAGCTTCCTTCAAAAGTTGTGGCCATTTTACTGAATTTTCAACCCATTCCTAGGTGTTTATCGAAAAAATGAAATTATCAAATTTCGATCTGCAATTTTGTCCATATGTAGGTCTAATGACCCATAGAATATTCTGAAAGTTTCAGCCAAAAAGAATGTTCCTTTCTCGAGATACTGAGTTTTCAAGTGAACTCACTTTCTGCGGCCTATCTGTGATAAGCGACTATTTTTTAAAAACTCCATATCTCGAAAAAGGAGCATTCGTTTTAGCTGAAACTTTCAGAATATTCTATGGGTCATTAAACCTACATATGGACAAAATTGCAGGTCGAAATTTGATAATTTGATTTTTTCGATAAACACCTAGGAATGGGTTGAAAATTCGGTAAAATGGCCATAACTTTTGAAGAAAGTGATTTGCACTCAAACCCTTTTAGAGTTTTTACTAGGGCACTATGTAGTATTTATGCAAGAAGTTTCATTGAAATTGGCGCGGGCACCTGAAAAGGTTCCCTCGTTAGTGAAACAGTTGTTGTCAAGATGATATTCCTTTTTCCCTCTTTCACAAAATCACGTACCGAACAGTTTATATCAATCTGCTTCAAGACAAGAGAATATTTGTATATCTGACGAGGGAACGTTCCCAAGTGATTAAAAGCTTTTGAGCTCATATGTTACCCATTAGGTAGAGGACCACTAGATTAGAGAAACCTCCAAAGGATTCGTGCCCATATTGAGATTTGACAGAGATATCTAATTTTTAGTGGATTTTTCTTGCTGGACCCTAGTTCTACAGCAAAATCATATTTTCGAATTTCGACCTGAAACTTTGCCCAAATGAAGGCCTCGATCAGAGTAGCTTGTATAAAAAATTTCAGAATTTTTGGACATAGTATCTCCAAGGTATCAATCTTTCAAAGTATCCATGTTATATATAGAAAAGTGCCTATATTTTCAAAAATTGATACCTTGGAAATGCAATGTCCAAAAATTCTGAAATTTTCCATATAAGCTACTCTAATCGAAGCCTTCATTTGGGCAAAGTTTCAGATCGAAATTCGAAAATATGATTTTGCTGTAGAACTAGGGTCCAGCAGGAAAAATTCACTAAAAATTCAATATCTCTGTCAAATCTCAATATGGGCACGAATCCTTTGGAGGTTTCTCTAATCTAGTGGTTCCCTACCTAATGGGCAACATATGAGCTCAAAAGCTTTTAATCACTTGGGAACGTTTCCTCGTGAGTGCAAAAATATATTTCTAAACAATTATTGCCTTTTCCATGCTGAACCACCAAATGATCCTGTAAATGATGTTTTTTTTAGTTCACCAACATTAATGATTTCGAACGTAATTAAACCACTCAAATTATCTCGACCTAATGGAACGTCGCACCATTGCGCATTCACTACAGATGAATCAATCGTGCCGTGAAGAACATTAGAAAACCTCGGTTTTTGATTGCTGGTGACCTGTTGAACGCCAAACCACCATATTACATTATTCAATTGTCGAATATAATACAATCCACCATCGTCACACGTCCATTTACCACTTAAATCAATATCATTTGGACTAGTGTTTACGGCTTTGCTAATGTTCGCTAGAAACAGAAACTTATAAATAATATTATAAAACAAAAATAGACTGATTTTTGATCATTGAAAAAGTTTGCAACAACTAATTCATTTTAAATTTAACTCAAGACTTCGTGTTAGAATCTTTCTTCAGATTTCACTCCTATCCCCATTTTCGTCACGTCAATGTGCACAGTCATATTCACCTTTATAACCAATCCACCGATAAAACTTCATCCTCTTACAGTTGTTGAAATTAAGATTGCTTTGAATGTGTCCATGTGTACACAAGCATATATGATATAAGTGATTATCACTACGATAACTACAATCATACACTCTCACACGTCACTGACAGATTCTCAAGGAACCATACTGAAAAATTATAATTGGGAGTCAATTAAACTAAAAATCAGTTGTATAATCATAGTAATCAACACTTATAAATTAGTAATGATTATGACCAAAGAATAGACAACAAGACAGTTAGTGACTAGATTTTCTATCTTGACACTATTCTTGTGTTATACAGAAGACGTACAAAACATGTTCGACTCGAAGTCAACTGATCGAAGTCATTGATATACCAATACTGTTACAATGGCCAGCATCAGAATACCTTTATCATCTTCTACACTCACTTCTAAAGAATTTCGAAATTTTTGAATTCTTTCAGCTCCTTGTCTTTGATGGATATGAAAGCCTCGAAATCTTCAAAAGTTCAGGAAACCTCCTATTCATACATTCCTTATTAACTGATTAATCGGTGTAACTTACAAAAGTATAATAAAATATAATACTCATCAGAAAGTGTAGATTACTTTGTATGATATGTATATATCGACATTAAGAGTCCAATTCGATATTTTTCTTAAAAAATAGGAATTCATAGAGAATAATTTGAGTAAATATTGTAATGTTGATGACATCAGAAACTCTTGAAAATGTATTCATATCTTTCTCATTGATTCAAGCATACCCATCACACTTACTTGAGACTGATAGTTTGCTTATAAATGCTGTAGTATCTTCTTGAATTGATATACTTGATGGTCGATCGAATTCTTTTTTCAGTTTTTCTAATATTATTTTCAGTTGATTTAAATGAATTTCATTAAAATCATCGTCTTGACGAATTTGTCTGGAATCTGCTATAAATTTATTCAATTCCTTCTCTGTTTCAATAAGATTGTCATTTGTCTGCTGAAGTAATGTCTGTCTGCATTCTTCTGCTGTTTGTCTAATTTTCTTAATTGATTTTGTTTCCCATGTGGCAATTTTTTGTATTAATAAATGTTGATTTGGATCATCTTTCTGTTCGATAATTTTTTGCCGAAATTCATCACAATCGGCGATGATTGACTCATATTCTTTATGAAGTGTTTGACGATGTTTTGTTAAGTCCGTTAAACAAAATTTTTGTGAACATCCTTCGCATAAGTATACAATTTTATCTTTGGCACATGTAAAACATTTTTCTTTACCAGTTGCCATTACCGTGCATTAAATGTAACGACAAGAAGAAGTGTCTACACGTTAAGAATTGCCAACGGTAAGCTTAAAAAGTGAATATATGCTGTGTTGTAGTCGATAAAGAAAAGAATAAAATGAAGCAACATCAGTCAACATTAATAGAAAATAAAAGAACGAAAAAAAGCCTTGCTTTTTTCAAAAGATAGAAACTACTCTTGAGGGTGG